CCAATACTGCAGCCCATTAGATTAGCCAGCTCCTCCAGATTTGGAACTTCATTCACTGGGTAAGTCATGCTCTTCAACATATTGATGTGCAACCCTGAGATAGCTTCGAATAGGAGTAGTGTCACAGACATGAAGACCTTGCTTAGAAATTAACAATTGAAACAAACAATTTATGAGTTAAGAAAATTTGGGAAGGAGCACAACTGAAAGCATCCTTTTTCCATCTTTAGAGTTTAACTCATTAAATTCCAGCTTGAGCCTATAACTTTTCGTCATGATAACTATTTCTTTTGAAGAAAACATGGTGTCTTTGACATGTTTGAAGGTTACTCAGGGATATATACTCCTTGTTGTCATTGGATGGACCTTGGACTATTTCTTTTTTCTCTTTGGGGCAGGCGGTGAAGTGACTTCTAATGTTAGTCAGTTCAGGCTTTAGTAATTATTATGTGGCTGTAATTTCTCATCTTGTCTAGCAACTGCTGAAGCTGAAATAGTACTAGTTTATGACTTAGGTAGGACTCTATAAATATAACGATGCAAATTGAAAATCAGAACAGTCTAGGCTGGCAAATGCAAATTCTATGTTTATTCTCATCTCCTTCAATTAGCTCTTATCTAGAAATGACTCAAAGTAAGATGGAATTTGGTCCAGATTGTCTCTTAAGCTAGGTTTAGAAAAATCAATCAAATAACTCCTACTTAAGTTGAATGAACCAATTTGCAACTGTACATCGCTATGGTGCAGATTTTGGAATAGCTGGTCATTTTTTGAGCAAATGCTAAATAACATCTATGTTCTTTTTTTATAAGGAACTAAATAACATCTATTTTTTTGTATGAGGAACTAAATAACATCTGTGTTGTTATTTTTCTAGCTTAAAATTTAGGTAAATTTCTTGTTTTGCTTACCATCTCTAATCTTTTTGGTTTTCACATGACTTATCCAAAAAAATATAACACTAAAAAGAAAAGAAACTTTGGCTTGTTCAATAATTATTTTTTGGTAAGTTTTTGCTTGTTCTGTGATGATTGACCACTTTCCATTGAAGATAAAGTTAACTAGGAAGAAATGCTTGAAATTGAGCTACTTTGAATTACCATTTTAGTGCATTTTGTCAATTTATGTCGTCATATGGTGGCTTTGAGACTTCCAATGTGCAAGTTAGCTCCTTTAACTCAGTATATTTGCTAAATTGATCTTATTAGGCCTTTGAGAAACTCTTAGAGGAAAAGGAGTTGGAATTCCACAAGTGGGAGGGGGATGCAGAAGAGTTGTTGCGAGGTGTGCGTGAAAAATTCAACATGCTGGCAAAGGTAAATGCCTAAGATTTTTGCGTCATGGACTTTGTTTCAGTGCTTCAAAGCACCACTCACTGCTTCTCCTATCAATTGCATCTTTATTGCAGCATTGGTCTAGAGATGACAAGAATAAGTGTCTGAGAGAAGTAACCAAGGTATTCCGGTTTATGGGTCAGATTGTTCGGCTGATTATCCTGTAAAAGCCGTTCCAATCCAAAGGTCAAACTTGGTTTCTCAATGGTGAGGTCACTTCAATCCTAAACTAACCGGTTTCTAATATATCTATTTCATTCCACATGTCATGTGACTCTGTTCTATCAATAAGAGCTGATTGGTGTGTCTAGAAAGTAATCTACTATTCATTATTTCTTCTTGTTCAGTTCTACTGGGCTCTATGTTTGGTTCGATTATCTTGTAATAGAGATTATACGTCCTGATGTCTTCTCTTGTGGAATGAACATGTTATCTATGGGAATCATTCTCTCTTGTTGGAGTCAATTTTGGTCGTTTTAACTCTCATAACTGTACTTACTATTGCCAAATTAGAAGGAGCAGTGATTTCATTGAGAGCTACAGCATGTCCTTCAAGGAATGTAGATCGCTTTGAACTTGCGATGCAATTCCCTTCTGCTACTCGGTCTCAAGTACTCTAAAATGTTTTGGCCCTATAATCCTTGTGCATATCTTCATAACTGCTGGAAATCATGTGCTTTAGTTGGCTGATCCTCTTACTAAGCTACTATAATTGCATTTCTCAACTTACTCTGTTCCTAATGGGCGCATCTCCTTTCATGTCAAACAGCTGGCTCACAAGTGTTGTGGTCGCGAACAACTTGTGCATATTTTGCATCAAACTGGATAGATTGACAACTGAGAGGATTGTCGTTGGTCACGTTCATCAAGATGCAGACGGGTGAATATAACTCTGCATCTAGAGGCAGGTGGCTGTACTCTTTTCTTTCCCTGGTTTTCTGGTTTTAACTTGCAGACTCTCCGGGAGCATTCTAAACTTGAAGAAGAGCTGTAATGTGCAGAATCCAGCCATGGAAGCATTTCGATGCATAAACAGAAGAGAGCCAGAGTGGTTTGTGCATTCGAGGAGCTGGAAATCAAGTTCCTTTGACATAACCATTTTAGAGCCATTTATTTGGCAAATGTAACATTTGGGATTTTGATGTGGAGGAAAGACTAATGATAATTGTGTTATTCTTTTTTGCACGTGTAAGTGTTTACATTGTCTCTGAGAAGGCAATATTACAAGGTCTTGGAATAAGGTTATAAGAATCGCTATAATTAGGCATATTTTCTCCAGTTACTTGTCAGCTTTTACTTCATAGGATTACTGATTGAAGAGTTGATAATATAAGTTGATTAAGGTAGTACTTGTCGAGAACATGTCAAAAGTTGTCAATATTTTAACACAACTCAAAAAAAGAAAATAAGACAACATTTAGAAACACTATTTCAGTCGAGCTCTCCCTCAGCATTGTAATGTCCAGCCTTGGCCTCTTTTGCAATACTCCTGTACTTGTTCATCAACTGAGTCTTTCCCTTGTTCAGCAGAGAATTAGGAGACATATAAATTCTCTTTCTGCAACATTTTCTTCTTACATCAGGTAAGAAAATCCGAACGGCTACCTTTCATATTCAGATTTATATAGTTCTAAGCCACTATATCTCATTGCTGCAGGTACAAAGTGAAAGAGTTCATGAAGATACTTGTTTTCCATCATGTGATTTGTAAAACCGTAGCCCAAAAATCTTCTTATGTAATTCATCTGCTTCAATTGTGTCCAGGTACTAAAGGTAAGTCTTCTACCACATAAAGTAATAGTAGCTGTCTTATTGTAATCATCCTCCAGAATTTTCGAAGCATCTTGTTTTGCTCTCTTTACATGCTTCATCATGTCATCTTTCATGTCCTTTGTGCTTGAATATTCTTGTGTTTGATTTGAGAATTTCTCAAGATTACCTTTTTCAAATATTAAAGCAAGCGCGTTGATACTAGCAGCAGTAACATCTTCATCACCTTCCTCTAGTTGTTTTAGAAGATAAGGGATCAATTCTTTCCACTTTTTGTGACCAATTCTCCATGTATTTATATCCGAAAGGAGCAGAGCCCAAGCTGATATTGCTGCAGCAGTCACGTACGTTGAATGTTTGGTTTCTTGATTCATGAATTGCCATATAATTTCCATTGATCTTTCTGTGTCTACAAAATCTCTAGCAGCAACAAGAGTATTGACAAACACTCTAACACTTTGACCGACTGAGATAATTTGGAATTGAGGAGTTTAGGAAGAAAAACCAGTGATTCTTCATAAATCTCATGTGCATTATCTCCTGCACCTAGAGTCAGTACAACTAATCCTATAAGTTGTAAAGCTAGATCAATCTCCAGTGCAGAACCAAGTTTCATGCAATTTTGGCATCGATGTACTAAAGTGACAAAATTATTCTGGGCAAATTCATAACGAACATTGGTCTCGAATTCCTCTACCAATGTCTTTAGCGCGTTTTCTCTCCTGGAACTTTTCTTTTTGTATAATTCTTGTAAATAAGGATAGAGTTTCTTCTTTGGAATTTGTATAGAACCCTGTTTCTCCTTCGTAGCAGCAGAGGCGTCGCCGCCTATTGGCGAAACTTTCCGGTTTTGAGGCCGGCTGAATCTTTGATTTTTCATTCTCCAGTTTTTGGTGGAGTATCGTATTGATTTGTGTTTGCAAGAGTGTGTGTGTTTGTGTGTGT